GGGGGGGGGGGGGGGGGGGGGGGGGTGGGGGGGGGGGGGGGGGGGGATAGTCATTGGCACCTCGGGAGCATGTCGGTGTTCAAGAAATAATTCACGTTACATTCAAGTGGTGCCATTTGATATATACTGTTTTTGGTAAAGTCAGCAGAAATCTATAACTACATGATATGCTTATTCTACATAACTATGTATAAAAATAAACGCTAACAAAACACTATTAAATTAAATGAATAATTTCTTAGTCTCTTGTGTTTTTTAGTCATATACAGATATGCAATTATGATTGCTGGGTAATATGTATGTTGATGCCCAATCTCAAGTCTCTATTTAATCATGTCACGAGACGATATATGACAGCTAGTCCACATAGCTTTGTCTTTGACTGCTCTACTTTCCCAATAAAATAACCTAAGTTACTCATTATATATGCCTACTGTGATAATAGCGTGCACGAGGGCCCGTCACAATAGCGTGTACTAGGGCCCGTCGTGATGGCGTACACTAGGGCCCGTCGTGATGGCGTACACTAGGGCCCGTCATAACAGCGTACACTAGGGCCCGTCATAACGGCGTGCACTAGGGCCCGTCATAACCAACTCGTGCCACTGTCACAGCTGGGAACGCGGTCAGACTTTATGTTTTCTTAAGTGACCATTCCTCAGGAGAACAGACAAATAAATCCAGACTGCGGTTTTGAGTGGGAGCGGATGTTTGGTTGGATCCCTCTAACAGGTCAACCAGTGGCCGGAGTGTGTGTGCATGCATGTGTATATATGTATGTGTGTGGCTTTGTGCAGAGGAGAACAGGGGAAAGAGGGAGGGGGGTTGAGAGAGTCTGGAGTTTTGTTTTCAACAGTGCTCGGTGCCCGAGGCTCGTCCTTTACAGTTTGCAGTTGTCACAAGCAAACTATGTCGAAAAATTGCAACAGCGAGTGGAAAGACACGCCGCAACTACAGGTGATGATTACATGATAAAAGAAAAGCACAGGAAACGCTTAATTTGCGCTGTCTCGCATTCTCAGTACACGTTTCTTAAGTGCAGCTTAATTGCTTTAAAAGTGGGTGCACATCAGTAGCCAGTTGACACATTATTATAACCCCTCTGGCGAGTGTGTTCCTTCATGGTCCAGTACAGTTTATTCAGTACATGTGTGCTATGTACAAAGGTCTTTTCTTGGTCAGATAAGTATGTGGAATGTTAAGTCTCCAAACACAGGTGCTTCTTATGAAACGGGAGAGATGGTTTAGATTGCCGCTACATTGGCAGACGATGTGTGCACATAACACACCTAAAGCTGGTCAAATTTGATCTTGGTTTTAGAGATTCGACAGCTTAAAAGACATTATGGTTTCCGAGGTAAAGCAAATATTTTATCACTCGCCTCATCTCTGCAGAGCAAATTATTCCCTTAAATATTACACTCAGCAAATTTAGCGGCGGAGGGGCTGGCATGCATGTGTGTGTGTGTGTGTAATCTTTTATCAGGAGCCGCCTCTGCAAAGAAGACAATGGTCCTGTGAAAACATGATAGAGGCAGCAGGACTGATTGATTGGGTCTTGTAGAGGGTAACAGATAACGAGCTGACATGTGATTATTGGCTTGCTAGTCACATTCTGTAACCTCCGTGACCGTTTGTCCGAGGACATCTTGCCGATTGAGAGCCCGAGAAGGGAACAGAGGGAGCAGCGCAGGATGCTTCTGTCCTTGGGCTGGCGGGAATGTGACCGTCTGCCTCCACACCCACAGGTCGACCACAGGGGCGCTTCGGAGAGGCTGGGAATGCCGGGCCAAGACAAACGGGGACGCCCAGAGGAGGCCCTGCCCCGGGCCTGTGCAGCGGCTCTCTGAGCTGCTCTGGCCTCCCAACCTCCACAACACTCACTGTTATTCTAGGCTGAGGAACCCTCCCACACAGAGGGCAAGAGAGTAAGACGGGGAGACTTGATGCCAAGGAGGACTGAGGACACAAACGAACACAATGGAGTTCTAAAAAGTTTTTAAAAAAAGGTGAGATCAGAAGTG